TCCGGCAGCTCTTTTTCTACAAAAAGACCCCTGATCTTATCCCATTTAAATCCCCACGTTTAGTAATCTGGAGTCAATTTCTTTGCTTGGAGAGAAGTTGTATGATGACACTAAAACCATGTTCTACCAGATAGGATGCTGGAAATACACTTAACCACTGTCCATAGTAAAGGATCGTGATCAGAAATTTCCTTCTGTAACTAAAACTCTTGATATGATTTCTTAAACCTGAGTTTTAGTTCAGTGTCATTTTGTGGCTCAATTACTTCTTCATCCACTACTCCAACTTCCTCAGTATCTGAAAATGCATTTATCACCCAATCTGGAATTTCCATAAAAAGAAGATCCTCAGATTGCTCGGACATATCTTAATGCAGCATATTCAAACAATCACAAAAACTTGCAGATCGTCATCTTGTATCCCACCTTTCTCTTCTAACTCAGACAGGCTCAGAAATTGTTATAGCTCACAACGGGCCTATATGTGTTTGAATAGAGTTAACTTTGAAATTAATGTAGAGATGACAGATTTGGCCTTAATATTGACCTAATTTTCTTGCAAGGTCATTTTGTTGAACTTTGCAAATAGGGCTGATACATAAGCAATGCCATGCCTGAATTCTTGGTGTTCATAATTGAAAAAAAAGCATTTTTGTCTTTAAAAAAACTCCATAACACTGTCAAGAAGGCAGTAAGTGTCTCACACAGTTGCCTTTTCATAGCCAACAAACTTCAGTACGAAGCAGCAAATGTTCAAAATCTTCATCATTCTTGGCACAGAGCTCCCATAATAGTCAATCATTGAGAGCAAGGGCTTTAATTTTATTAACTGCAGTAATGACAGCGTGTAATGACTTGTGCAGGCAATCACTGAGGATTTTTGAAACCAGATGTTGATGATGAATGACACAGTGAATAGTAAAAACATTTGGCACTGCTGTTTTCAAATAAGCAACGCACCTACGGTAGCAACCAGTCATTGATGGTGCCCCATCAGTTGTACTAGCAAGTATTTTAGTAAGAGGAATTTCCTTGTCTTTGAAGAACTGCTCAGCAACATGAAAAGTCGAGTCCCCTTTAATTTTGTTAGTTTTTAAGGTGCTACTGAACTCTTGCTCTTTTATACTGCTATAGACAGACTACCATGGCTACCCATCTTGATATCTAATATCTGTTCTTAGTTGCCTTGCAAATAACAACTCTTGGCTAAACTTTCATCTTTTATAAAAGTGCACATATGTGAGAAGCAAAATTCATTGCCTGGCAAAGTTGACTTGTCCAACTGTAAATCAAACTCTGTTGTCCTTAGTATGTTGCACAGTGTGTCTTCCACACATTCAGCCATTTCACCTCTATGTCTTTGCAATGAATTGTTGCTGGGAGGATTTATCTTGATTATATTTTCTGGTGACTTATGCAAAACAGTACTCAGAACCTCACTAACTGTTGGTAAGATGAATTCTTCATCAGTTGTATGTGGCTTCCAATGAAATGTTGTGTGATACCCACAAACCATCAATGTTTTGTTGTTAAGCATCAGAAAACATGCTTGATGGTAGGCTTGTCCTTATTTTGTTTTCCTGGCTTGTAAGTTCCTGTTTCTTCCAGGGTTGGGTTTGTTTTTTTCCTGTTCTACATGTGTTTTGCTCCCTGTAGTGGTCAATTCGATATTACACCAGTTTATGTCTGGTATATCTCCTTGCAGATTTAAACTGCAGGTTTTTATGTTGGAGATAAACTGGTGTAATATCAAATCAACCACTGGAAGGAGCAAAACATGTGCAACAGAACACCCGCTCTCCCAAAGAAACAGGAATGTACACACGAGGAAAATGAGAATGGGGAAAAGCCCAGTGTTGGCCTCGTTTGAAATTTTTAGGCTGCACTGAAGTAGTATAAATCCAATCTCTTCTTCTTCTTCTTCTTCTTCTAATCAAGAACATAGGAAAATAAATACCACACTCAATATGTGTTTGTGTGTGTGTATGTGTTAAGTGCCATCAAGTTGCTTCCAACTTATGGCAACCATATGATTTAAAGACTTCCCAAACATCCTATTGTTAACAGCCTTGCTCAGGTCTTGCAAATGGAAGTAGCGGCTTTTTTTATTGAGTCAATCCATCTCATGTTGAACATACTCAATGCTATTATGTTAAGGACTTACCAGCAAAAACTTTAAATGATAAAGAGAAAAAACTACACATGGTGATGACTGTTTCTCAAAACACAGTATACTGGTCTGACTAGTGCTCTGGTGGTATATTTACTAAAAATTCTGATTGTTTCCACCAGATTTCAGCATTATGAAGAGGCAGAAACGTGCAGTGCCATTTGACAGCATGTAGGTTCTAGCTTGGTCAGTTGTAAATAAGTGAACAACATGGTCAAAGGGGCTCACCTTCAGTACCCCCCTGCCATCCCTTTGCCTCTTAACAACTCTCCTAGATAATCCCACCACCTATTCAGGGAGGTACCACCCCATTTGAGAACCAGCGGCCTTGATATTACACTATATGTTATTTTTTTTCCTTTTGGAAAGAACTCTCACAATTATTCGATTTCCCACCCATTCTCTTACAGCTCTTGTTGAAGCCCAGGATGTTGAACTCTACTTGAGGCCTCTGGAAGGACACATTCAGTGCATTCAGGAGGCAGAATTTCAAAAAATACATACTTTAATTCCACCCTTATTCCACACCATCTGTCTGGTCTGGAGTCACTCTGCGTTTTACAGGATACCAGCACGAATCATTGTTCTGTTGCAGGAATTCTGCAATCTGTTTATTGACCAGGTAACACAAATTATGAATAGCAAACTAGATAAGCACTTAATCACTAAAAGCCAATCGATACAGAAATATGTTAAAGAAGTTTCCCTCCCTAATAAAATACCCATTTTCGGAGGATTTGTCATGAATTTATTTGCCTATATCCCAGGGGCACTAGGTTTTTACAATTAAAGCTATATAACAAACAAATAATTATAGTAATAAATTCTGCTCTTTTATGTGTTTTATATTAAAAATACAATAAGCTCTTTATATGAAGAAGAAAAGGCAGACTTTAAAGATCATGTAGCCTTTTACAAACTATTTTTCATGTTGTCAGGTAAGTGCCACATCCATTTTTAATATACTTTTAATGGGGAATTAATTATCAGATGGTGAAACTGATAGCAAGATCTATTTGTTTGAAGACAATAGGGCTTGACAAGTCAGTTTATTGCTGAATTGCTTCATAATCTAGAATCTATCAGTAAATGGTTGCATTTGTTAAAGGGCTGTCCCAGTAATTTATCATAACTCCTTCTGCAAACAGAATCTCTCTTTGCGTTTACTGGCTGAAAAATCAGATGTGATTTTCCGGAGTAGTAAAAAATGTTCATTGTCAGCCCTTCTTTGGCTGATAGGGTTTGTGATCATTCAAGAATTAGAAGTTCCTCTATGTTCAGTGGGGTTACTTCCAAGTAACTGCATAGGGTTGCTGCTGTAGTCACACTTTTAAAATATTACTTTGTAGTGATACAATAAATTTCTGTTATTTCTACTGCTACTAGAGACTGAATTGTGTTGAACTCTGTGGCATTTACTTCTGAATAGACTGCATGTGGCTGTGTTGTTAAGACATTTACCACCAGTGTCATGGCTAAGAAGGTTCTGTTCCTTCCTGACAAGTGGCCCTCAGGACACTGATCTGTATTTTTCATTCAAGTGTGTTAATCTGTTTTTCATATGGGAAAAAGTAAAAAGTTTCTCTCTGAAAGTCTTTTAGAGTGCTGACAATATTTGCAGTCTCCCGGTACAGAGTAACTTACGTTAAGTGAGAGGAGCCATTAAAAGCTGCATGTGTGCATGTGGGGAAATGTGTCTCTGCTCTGCAAATAACACTGCACCCCACCTCTCCATACAACAGTCCCTGCAATATATTCAACCATCTTCCACGCTCTGTCCTACTTGGCATAATGACATGCACTTAGCTAATTCCTAAGAAATAAATTTCCAAGCAATTTTCATTTTTCTCTCCCAGCCCATTCTGAATTCTTCTATAATATACGCTTGTAGGCAGGTGAGCTCTGGCAGCAAGTTGGTGGAGACAACCACCAGAGTAGAGGGAATGGTGGCACAGAAAGCAGGGACAGAGGCAGGAACAGGTGAGGGCCTGCTGACCCCACTAGGAAAACCGAAACCCTGGTGATGACCCATGGGGCAGGTGTGATCTGGGACCAGCACAGCAGGATGAGGATGTTTGGACATCATCACTGCCATTGGGCATGATGCCATTTCTCTGGGCTTATGCTGAAAGTGGGAAAGCCAGGGTGGGGGTGGGTCCAAATCCTAGGGCAGGCTTTAGAAGAGGTGGTTCTGAGGAGCTTAAGGTGGAGTGATACTGGATGTGGTGAGCATGATCCCATCTGAGGAAGGAGTGAGGAAACTTCACAGGTGGGCAGAATAGGTTATGAAGCTTATTGTATGTATTAAAGACTGCTTGCTTGCAACCTGAGTGAAGCAAAGTTTTTGGGAAGGAGACAACCAATGCCCTGCCCTGAGCCTGCTGCAGTCTGAGTGCTTCAGGTAGCCCAAGGCCTGTCTACCCCTTACAAGTGCAAAATTGGAGCACAGCAGTTCTAATTTCAAAATGGTGGCTACAAAATGAACTGAATATGTCTCCTGCTCTTGCAGTGAAAATAATTTGAATTTAGTATTTATAAGTATGCACATGCTACAAAATTCATCTCTTCAGATACTCCACTGAGTCCTTGGCATCTGCCCCTGTTGGTTAGGCACCTGAGCTAAATATCCTATAGGATGGGATTTGTGGGGAAAACTTCCTCCAGTTTGGATTCCTTTAGTTCAGACTGGATCAGCACCAGGGTAGCACTACCCCCACCACCAGAGAAGCTCCATCTATCTGTCTGTCTGTCTGTCTGTCGGATTTCTACCCCGCCCTCCCAGCCAAGGCCAGCTCAGGGTGGTTTACATAAAATCAATACATAATTTACAATAAAACATGAATTTATGAAAATTTTCCAGTACAAAACTGGAAGAGATGGTGTCATGACCCCAGGGGTCTCTGCCTTCTGCCGTCACCACTCTGGACTTCAGGTCCCTGTTGAGAAGGCCCAGAGTACCCTCCCAGGCCCATCCAACATGCCCCAATCAATCAATCAGTTTATTACGGTCGAAGACCCATCAAACAACATACAGTCAAAAACAGTCTCCAGAATGTCGTAAGGCATTACAGAGAAAAAACATCTCAAGGAGTATTAAGGAAGTTCTTGCGCTTTATAGTTGCAATAAAAAGAAATTTAGCAACATTCCTTGAAATAACCGTGGATTTGTCCTCCAGTAGGTGTTTCAGCAAAAGTTCCTCGGACTGAAATACTAATTGTCCTTGAAACCTAAATGACCTTAATAAAGGCATAATTAAAAGGGCTCTTTCTTCTGAATAGTGGGAGCAATGAAATAATATATGGGGGAGGGTCTCTATTAACTCAGAAGGGCATGAGCATAATCTCAAATGTTTGGGGATACGTTGAAATCTTCCGGAAAGAACTGCAGATGGAAAAGTGTCAAATCTGGCTCTGGAAAAGGCCCATCTATGGTT